GATCTAAAATAATTCAACTTAAATATTGTTACGAGCTTGGGGTTCGAGACAATTAAAAACTGCCGATTGAATTACCAAAATTGACACTTTAATTACACAACACTAATTACAATCTAAAATCACACTAATAATAAAACACAGTTTGCCGTTATTTCGCTCCGAAGTATTCTCTTGTATCGCCAATTCAATACTGCCCCGGTCGTGGTCTATACCGGCCTTATATAGGGCCTCAGATAGTTTCCAGAACCTTCTACTGTAGCGACATCTTGAATGTTCGAGTACATATCGGTCCCGAAATTTCTGGAAGGATCTCGACTCTTCTAGTTCTGCTACTCGACACTAGAGGGCGCTAGGACACTAGAGGGCGCTAGTGTAACTAGTGTTGCCATGTACAAGACATTAATAGTGGCGCGCAACACTGCCCCCTCCTAAGACATGCTCGTCCCGAGCATTACTGGCCCCGTTATAACGCGCCAGTCGATCCACATGGACAATCTTAGGAGTACCTCTGGCACCTTTCTGTATCCGGTAGGTTACATCATTGATCCTTGTCACAATCCGGTACGGTCCGTCCCATTTAGCTTGAAGCTTAGGAGATTTCCCTTTGCTGCGAACTGGATTGTGTACTAGTGAACCTTCATCAAACCCCATTTTGCTTTCATACCGTATTTTCATCTTCTCAGACATTTGCTGGCCCGTCTGTCTGACGTGCTCATAAATGTCATTCATTTTGTTCCGCAAGTCATTTGCATAATCGGTTATACTGCGTGGGGCATCAGGTGGTATTCCGGTGATCAGATCTGCAGGCAGCCGTAATTCTCTCCCAAAGTTTGCGAAAGCTGGCGTCACTGATGTACTTTCGTGAACAGCGCTTCGATATGACAACAAAAACGGTTGTATGTGCATGTCCCACTCTCGTTGCCGTTTTTCCACAACTTTTGCCAGGTACCTATCCAATGTCTGATTAAATCGTTCTACCATTCCATCAGATTGTGGGTGGTAAGAAGTTGTTCGTGTTTTATGAGTACCCATAACTCTGCAAGTTTCCTGGAATATTTGAGATTCGAAATTCCTTCCTTGATCGCTGTAAATCTCTAAGGGTACTCCAAACGACAGAAGACTTCATGAACTAGTTTATCTGCAACTGTTGAAGCTTCTTGATTTGGAATGGCGAAGACTTCTGGCCACTTAGTGAAGTAATCCATCACAACCATGAAATACTTGTTACCACTTTCACTTTCCGGAAACGGCCCCGCAACGTCAATGGCTATCCTCTCCCATGGTGCACCAACATTGTACAATTTCAATGCGCCTCTACTACGAATTTGAGGTCCCTTTACAGCCGCGCAACTTTTACATTTGCGGCACCAGTCCTCGACATCGTCACGACAGTGGACCCAGTAAAACCGTTCTCGGATCTTCAGTAGAGTTCGTTTAACTCCCAGGTGGCCTTCTGAACAACCACTATGGTACAGCTGTAGAACATCCGGTACTTTAGCCTTAGGGACAACCATTTGCAAATGACAACTGTCTCCCCGACCATTTTCCCATTTACGGCACAGGACTCCATCCTAAATCAGCAAGCTGTCCCATTGGGTCCAATAGCTTTTCGTGGTCGAACTCATTGCTGAGATGTCGCTCCACTTGGGCTTAGGAGCACTGACCTTCATCCATTCCAGAATCGGCTTAATGTCCGAATCTTCCTGCTGTGCATGTTGTAGGCTGTCCTTCCACTCATTGCTGAGCTGGTCTCTCCTGAGCATCCTCACAGATACCACTTCCTTACCCTCTTGCCTAGTACAATGCTTGCAATCTTCAGGGCAAGGTCTTCTTGACAATGCATCTGCATTGCCATGAGATTTCCCGCTGCGATGTTCGATCACAAAGTCGTATTCCTGCAGTAGTTCAATCCATCTCGCGACTTGTCCTTCCGGATTTTTGAACTGCAATAGCCATTTCAGTGCAGCATGGTCAGTTCGTAAGTGGAATTTCCGCCCTAGAAGATATTTGCTAAAATGCTGCAAGGACTTTACCACAGCAAGCAATTCCCGTCTTGTGACACAATAGTTTCTTTCCGGCTTTGACAACGACTTGCTGAAGTACGCTATCACAATATCTTGATCACCATTCCGTTGATACAACACACCGCCAAGTCCTATATCACTTGCGTCTGTGTCAACTATGAATTCCTTGCCCGCATCAGGGTACCCCAAAATAGGTGTTTTGTACAGACGGTTCTTGAGCTCCTGGAATGCAGTATCGCAACTTTCATCCCAGCAGAAATGTCGTTTCTCCTCGGTTAGCCTATGCAGAGGTTTGGCTATATCTGCAAAGTTCTTCACAAATCGCCGATAATAAGAGCACAAACCCAAAAATGCTCTAACCTGTGTCTTGTCTTTTGGGACCCGCCACTCCTAGACAGCAGCAATTTTCTCTGGATCCGTGCGGATACCTTCTTCCGACACTACATACCCCAAAAAACTAACTTGCCGTTTGAATAGTGAGCACTTCTTCGGTCACTAAACTTGAGGTTGGCACTCTGGATCTTCAAGAGCACGCTTTCCAGGTGAAGGTGTTCCTCAAACGTACGGCCTACGATGATGATGTCATCCAAGTAGACCAGACAGGCATCTCCAATTAGCCCGGTAAGTACAAGCTCCATCAACCTTTCAAACGTTGCTGGAGCTTTGCACAATCCAAACGGCATGACTTTAAATTGCCACAGACCCTTTCCTGTGGAGAATGCAGTTTTCTCCTTGTCCTTAGGGTGGGTCAATTTCAACCTGCCAGTAGCCACTTTTCAGGTCCAGCGTACTAAAACACTTTACGCCTGTGAGCATGTCCAGCGTGTCATCAATTCTTGGCAAGGGATAGCTGTCCTTCTTCGTAACGTCGTTCAGGCGGCGGTAGTCAACACAAAACCGCATGCTGCCGTCTTCTTCTTTACCAGCACCACAGGTGAATACCATGGACTAGATGAAGGTTCAATAACATCATCCTTCACCATTCCCTCAATCATGGTTTCCACTTCCTTTTCACGTGCTACAGGCAATCTTCTTGGCCGCTGACGAATACGCAATTCTTGTCCTGTGTTTATTTTGTGTTGAACTAAGCCAGTCTTTCCTACGTCAGCTTCGTTTAACGAGAAAACATTGGCGTACTTGAGTAACAACTTCTTCGCCTTGACCATTTCATTCGGGGAGAGAACGCTGCGATAGTCTTCTAAAAGTGTGGTCACTCTCGTTTGTCCATCCTTGCTGGGGGTCCCAGTCGATAGATATTCGCACCGACACAACCAATCCACTTCCTCACTAGTACCAACCAATGTGCCTTTTTCTATAATCTGTTCCTGATCACAAAGGTTCAACACACGTACTCCTGAGATGTCGGTGGTTCTGACCAAGGTTCGAGCCACTTTCCATGGAAGGTCATTGTCTACCCTTTCCACGAGTACACAACGATGAGCTTGCCTAGGACTCCGAGGAAGACTAACCGGCACAATCGTTTCCGATCTCGGCGGAAGAACAATCTTCTTAAGGCTGTACACATTCCCTGGTGACGCCCCTTCCACGAAAAGTTCCTCTTGTCCACATTTCAAAACACCTTGCTTAACATGGATCTCACAACAATTCTTCCTCATAAAGTCTAGGCCCAGGATGCAGTCGTCCATTATATCAGCCACGATGACATTATGCAGGTAGATCATGTTGCCTAGCTTCAACTCCATCTCCTTCTCTCCACGGACGGGTATGCGCTAACCGGTGGCTGTCACCAAATTAATGCGTTCGCGGTTGTATGCGGAGTCCCCAAGAAACTGATTTATAAGATCTCGACTCTCCTAGTTCTGCTACTCGCCACTAGAGGGCACTAGTGTAACTAGTGTTGCCATGTACAAGACATTAATAGTGGCGCGCAACACTTTCTTTTACTCGACACTAGAGGGCGCTAGTGTAACTAGTGTTTCCATGTACAAGACATTAATAGTGGCGCGCAACAATATTATATTTATATAATACAAATTCTCTGCCACTTCAAAGTATATTAGCATTAAGTGATTTTCTTTACATGCACATAAGAAAAAAATTGTTTTGCAATATATTAAAGGGATGAAGACTTTTTGTGAAACAAACTTAAGCGTGGAGATTGTATCGCAATTTTGCATGCTGAGCATTTTTTGAAACAATATTAAGAGTAAATATAAAGGTTCAAAATCTTAATAAAAACAAATTACAATTTTTTAATAAAATTTTATATTTATTTAATATTAATTAAATAAGTTTTAATTATTTTTGTTTTGTTACGCTAAAGAAGTATAACTTTCTGCGTGCGTACGTAAGTATACACACTGGTTTATTTTTATTAATTTTTCTTCACTATTTTCCCATATTACTTATGCTGAACCTTCTCTGCAAATTTAGCCTGTTATTGCAAAATAACCCTGTATATTTTAAAATTACAACTAAACATCGTCCTTTCCCAAACTTGAAGGTGTTCCTTAAGTGCTCTTGTCTATTTTAAATCAACAAGTTGTAGATAATTATGCGATAAGATTTACCCGGGTATTTCACTTAATGAACCTCTTACGATACCCTCGGTATATAATCAGATCTGTGTTTGAAAGATATTTCTATCAATTCACATCTAATGCCTATTCAAGTCGACTGCTGTATCCCCAAACATATAATAATAGCTAGCAAACATTTCTTGGAAGTTTTTTTCCACATCAGCACGCTGGACAAGATAGGTTGTATAGTTTCATTTAATGTGTAGTATCTGCATAAATTATATATAAAAACTCACATTGTTTATGGTGTTAGGTCCGTCATGTTTTGATGTTATATTAGTTTTTTGTTGATTGCCAGAACCTATTTTATTGATTTACAAATTTCACTGTTATCCATTATTGGTAGTAAGCACTTGAAGAATAAGTTAGTAAATCTCCCTTATTTGCGGATCGCATAAAGTTGGTAAAAAAATGCGATTTTTTTAATTTGTTATAGTGGTTCATGGTTGTCCGGTGATCCAAGCAATACAGTCACAGCCTCTCGGCGCTCGCGCTATACACGACGAGCTCGCACGGATACTCGATGAAGATAATGGTACCGAACTGCATCTAAGTGAAGATGTGCTAGAGGATATTAAAGGTAGAGTGTTACACCTATTATAGTGTCTTTGTAAAGGAGTTATAGATCATAGTGACTATCTGAAACATGATAATATAGAAATTGTCGTACAAATGTGCTGTTACAATTAAAGTCTCTTTGGGCTTTATGTTTTTTATGAAAGTTAAGAAGCTTAACAGTAAGAACTTATTGTGTTAAAGCGTATTTTATACAAACTGATTGCTTGGTTGGACTAGTGGTCGTAAATGCGATTACTAATCATGAGGTCCCAGGTTGGAATCCCAAGTCAGAACAAGAAAGTTATTGAGGTTTAATTTTTTTATTAGTTGTCCGGAGTCGAGAAGATGGCGGGGTTTCACCCCCGTGCTTCCAAAAGCACGTAAAGCCATTGGTCCTGCGTCTGTACTTTCTACCGTCATATCGATTTACCGTCCCGTCGGAGGGAATAAAGAGTACACGTGTGTTTGCGCATACACTGATACTATAATCCTGACCTGTGCAAAAGTCGTCGAGATTGGCCGCCGAAACCAAAATTTGGTCTGGAGGACATTATTATTATGGGGTATCTATAAAGTTTTCTCATCTGGTTGGGAAATATAAATATATAATTGTAAATAAACATGGTAAACGTACATAAATATCAATAAAATAAAATAAATACATAAAAAATACATAAATATATAAAAACCCAACCAGATGGAAGCCCTCGGCAGAGGAGACCAGACGGCCCAAGGTTAGGGGGAAAGGGAAAGAAACCGGCGGACGATGCGGGCGGTATCGAGTAGCACCGCCTTCTGCATTTGAGCTTGGAGCGGTCCGTCACGGAGTCCCAGTCGCCTCAGATGACCCGAGAGGCTGACTGGAATTAACCCATTCGCAGAGACGAGTACGGGTATAATTTCGGCCGGCAATCCACCCCACATATCGGTCACCTCGTGAGCCAGGTCCAGATATTTTGTCAGCTTATCTGTTTCGGCTTTCACGAGTTTCTCGTCATAAGGAATGGTAATGTTGACCAAAAATATCCTTGACTGTGCCCGGTCCATCGGCACAATATCAGGCTTATTCGCAAGAATAGTCCTGTCTGTGATGATGGCCCGGTCCGAGTAGAGCCTGACGCGGTCATTTTCGATCACGGCTTCCAGCAAGTACTTATAATACGGCAGTTTCCGATCCACGAGACCGTATTTCAGAGCGAGCTCCTGGTGTAGAATCCTGGCTAATAAGTTGTGCCTATGCAAATATTTAGAGTTAGAAAGCGCCGAACAACCGGAGATGACATGCCTAAGTGACTCACCGGGCTGGCGACAAGCTCGACAGACGTCAACGGTGCCATCCTTTAGGATATATCTCCGATAATTGTTGGTCTTAATAACCTGATCCTGTATCGCACAGACAAAACCCTCGGTTTCCCCAAAGAGGTACCCGAAACGTAGCCAGTGTAGGGAGGCGACTGTGTCTACGAAAGGCTCATGTAGAGCCTTGTAGAACCTACCGTAGAGCTCCTTCTCCTTCCATACGGTCTCCCGGTCGGAAATGCTCTGTACTGCCGGGTCTTGCCATTGCTCGTTGGCTAGGGATAGAGGGGTAAGTCCTTTATCACAAGAAATAACGTCCCTATAGTATGGATCATCCGCTCTCGTCAGAAAGTTATTACGGAGGCTGCACACTTCGCGATTATGCATGGTAAGCGCGCTTAAAAAGCCGCGCCCACCATGCTTTCGCGGCAAGTACAGCCTCATTACTGACGATCTCGGATGATGCATCCTGTGGGACGTCATTATAGTGCGGACTTTTCTGTCCAGAGCGTTCAGTTCTGTCTGAGTCCATCTGAGCATGCCAAAGGTATACATGAGAACAGGCATGATCCAACCGTTATATGCGTGCGTCCTATTCACACCGGACATAAGGCTGTTAAGCACTTTGGTCAAGCGTGCATAAAACACATCGCAAACTGACTGTTTCATACCCCCCTCATCTACACCGATCTTGTGTCATACCCAGGTATCGGTATGTTTCAGCCTCGGAAAGGGTCCTTATGTTGATGGGCATCGATATGTCTATGCCCTCAGAGTTAGCAACCCTTCCCCTTTCAACATGGAGGACCGCACACTTATCCGTCCCCAGCTCCATTGTAATAGAATTGCTAAAATCACAAGTGATGTTTAGCAATTCCATGAGATGAGAGCGACTGGAGGCGAAAAACTTGAGATCATCCATATGGAAAAGGTGGGTCACTTTTGTACCTCCTTTCCTGGAAGATACCCCTTCTTATCCTTATGTGGTTCTCCGCAGCCGTCATCCGCTGGCCTAGATGACAAAGGATCGCACTCCACTGCCCCATACACTGCCCGAGGAAGTCTCAAACCGTACAGTCAACCTTGTACAGCTCGAGGACCCTCTTAAGCCATGTATGAGGCACCGAGTCGAATGCCTTTTTGTAGTCTATCCAGGCGGCGGAGAGGTTCCGACGGTTGCGTTTAACCACCTTGCCAATGACTGCATCAATAAGGAGTGGTTCCTTGGTTCCACGACCACCGCCCCGACATCCATTTTGAGCGCGCGACAACACCTGATTTGAGTTCAGGTGACGAGTGATTCTCGCGCTCAAAATGTATGTTAGTGTCTTGTATATGGTAGGTAGACACGTTATGGGGCGGTATTTGCTCGGGTCTGTGGTATCCCGGTCTTTAGGAACCAAATAAGTGATCGCAGTAGTGAAGAGGCTCGGGAGTGACTTTTGGTCGAGAGCCTCTTGAAAAAGCCCCTTCAGCCAGTAGTGATGCAGTCCGTCGAGTCCCGGACTTTTCCAGTTCGGGGCCCTACGGACCGCCTCAGCTACGTCATCCGGCGTTATGATGACGGGGTCCATGGGCGTAATATTCGCACACTGACTCGCCATAACTTCCGTCCAAGGGCCCTCGCTGTGGTTTACGTGCTCTGACCACAGGCCGCGCCAGAATGCGATAGTGTCGCCTGTTTCGGTGCTGGGCCCGTTCCACGTACCATTGGTCGCTCCAATGATTCATAGAGCCTCTTCTGATCACTCTGAAAGAGACGATTCTGGTTGAACCGTGGCGACGTCTCGGTATATCGCCGAACACGCTTCCCCCAAGCAGAGATTCTCTGCTTCAGGTCGTCTATGCGCTCCGTCAGTTTTTGCGTTATATCCGGCTGGGACAAACTGATATTTGTCCCAGCAAACGCCATCCTGACGGTGCGCACAATTCTCGGCCTATTATTGCCCGACTTGAAGCTTATCAGTCTGCCGATAAGGAGGACCCTTGCCTTTGCGATACGGTCCTCAATCCTTCTTCTCCAGGCTGGGATGGCGGTACTTTGTCTAGTAGCGCGTCCAGCCGTGGGAAGTTTGGCGCCAATAATACGGCAAACTGCCAGTGCGGCGCCAAAAAGAATTGAGTCCGTCTCGCAAAGGTCCCGGCTGGCTTCCAAATAGGTCACCAGCATTGGGTTAAGAGCCCTCACGACAGCCCGATTCCGCTTGCTTAGGGGTATGCGCGGTAGTCGAGGTCGAATTTCGAGAGGCTTACTGCGCGTTTCCACAATCGCCTCCTCCAATTTACTCCTCATCTGCTCTAGTTCTTGGGCATAGATTACCCCCTAATAGATTCCGCATACAGGGCCACAAACGCGCGCAACACATACTTGCTGTAGCTACCATACGAAGTGAAGCTAAGAATCACGACATCAGTATCGACCAAGTTTGTGATCCGTAGGCATGTCCGAGTTCTTGACAATTTAAAAATAGTTTTGTATCTAAAATATATTACAAATGGCTTCCTGTGCAGTAAAATGGTGTGACAAGTCAGCTAAGACATCCAGTTATCAAAAAGATGGCATAAATTTTAATTGATAAGTAAATTCTATTCTTATCACATTAACCTATTTCAAATGCACCGGAGATCAACTTATACTGGTATATTAGTGGTGTAAAGTGATAACAATTAAGCACCCGTTGATGTTTTTTTGAAATGTCCCTTTCACTCGTTACGTAAATTACAATAGTTGTCTTTGTCTAACAACAGCACGTGTATCGATACTGTTGTGATTTTTAAGTCGATATTTGTTTGGTCATCGTTTAATTATTTTTTTCGAAGTCATATTATTTTATAAAAATAGTAACGTATCATTGTGGTACCTATAGGTTTCCTAAATGCCCCGAAAGGAAAAAAGATGTGGTCTCCCACCAAAAATAGTGTACTATGCTCAAAACACTTCACAGAAGACAATCTTCATAATATTATGAAAAACCGTATAAAGCTGTTGGATTCTTGCCAGTTTTGGTATGGACTTTTGCATTTTTCAAAGATTAGTACTAACGTAGATTACACAATAATATCATTAAGTGGTTGAGTGAAACATGATATTCTTATATTTAGGTAAATGTTACACGTCGAAATCAAGCTATTTTGAACGGATTTATAAATCATAAAACTTGTAAAAGTTATAATGTGATTATTGTTTTGACGTGTTCGTATTTAGTGTTACATGAACTTCAGTATTATCTTATTATAATTATTAAGTACATCTAAAATTGGAAGACGTGCCGTATGGTGTATTAATTAATAATACTATATCGGTAATGTTTTAAAAGAAACGAATATGTATTTCTGATTTAGATTACTGGTTCACCGCTGAAAGACGCGAAAAACCCGCCAACACCTAAAAATCAGATTCATTGCTTAGAAACGCCTACAAAACAAAAAAGAAAATTTTCTCCTATACCTGATACGCCATCTGCATTTGATACTCCAGTTAAAAACGTCTTTGTAGAAGAATCATCGAATTAACCAACGTAATGTACAAAAAAGATAAAAAAGTTAAAAAGTTAAGTGATTCCAACAGAAGACTAAAAACACAAATAGTTTCTTTGAAGTCATTATTGGTAGAATTAGAAAACAAAAATTCATTAGCAGCGGATAACAATGACGCATTAAGTTCCTTAGAAAAATCAAAATCTAGAAAATCAGGCAAAATTGTTAGAAAAAAATATTCACCACAATTGAGAGCTTTTGCACTCACCATAAATTACTCAGCTAGGCTTATAATTATGTACGCAAAATATTTAATACTTCTTTACCTTCTGTAAAAACACTAGGAAAGTTTGTAGTTTTAACACAATCAATTAAGCTTCATTATAAATAATAATAATAATATATATAATAATAAATATAAATAAATAAGCATAATTAAACAAATAAATAAGCAGTTTTGTTAATGAGGATATTTTTCATGAAATAAAATAATCACCAATTCGATCACGAAAGTTGTAATCATGTCATTGATTTAGCTAAGAGTATTATGGAAAAATACATAGACATACTCGTAAGATTACTCTACTCATCCAGGAAGACAGATCCTAAGAATTCTGTGAGACAATTTTATACTAAGATTATCCATTTTAAAAATCAGTAAAATATATATTTATAAATTAAATGTACAAATATATGTATAGAATGTTTAATTTTTTAATAAACATCAAATAAAAATTGATCAATATATTTATTTATCATTATCAATAATCAATAAATCCCAAATTTATCGATCAACGTCCCAACCCTGTTCCATCACTATGGTTTGGTACATTCTAAGTTTGACCTTTAAATATCCAATCACAGCGCATTTGCCACGTCCCCCGCAACCCTTGCATAGGGCCAAATTTGGTGAACTCGAAACAGAACAAATATTCAATGATGCGGTATCTATTAGGGGGTAATCTGTGTTCTTGGGTGACCATTCCATCATCGTCTGAATCAACTACAACTGGAAAATCCGTGGCGGCATCGACGTGTGCAGATTGTTCTGCAATTTGTGGTGTCGCATTACCAGCTGTAGCATTTTCATCCGACGAGGGAACAGCCTCACGTCGTAGTCGTTCGAGTTCGGCGTCACCAAAAATGTTGGAGCGCAGGATGTACCGAACTCGGTCTGCCAGGTTTTGCTCTGATACATGAACAGATGGCTCCAGCTCCGCGAAAAAGCGATGCATCCGAGCCCGATACGCCAACATTCCAGTTTCTTCCCCTTTTACCCTAAAATACGCTCGCAATGCGTTTGCGTTCATCATTTATGTCCAACGCATGCGACGTGTTCCACCAGCGGCGGGTGCCGCTTGCTGAGTCCGAGAAGACCCAGCCGACACCAAGCCCTCTGGTGGGGATGATGGATGCGGGCGGCTACTAGGTGGTCTTGCAGCCCCCCGCGCTTGGCTGGCGACCCGCATGCTGTCGCGTCCAGTGCCAGCTCCAGACGCGCCCTGGCGACCTCCAGGCAGCGGCCCTTTGCGCACTCTTTTATTGTCCATCATCCATTGTATGGGCGTCAATTAACGGGAGACGCCCAGGCCCGGCACCGTTTCATGGTGCGGCCATAAGCACAGACGGACCTTTGCACCCTCAATTCTGCCGAGGCACGGCGCACACACCTCTTGGCAAGGCGCTGACTGACTGCACTGACGTAGCAGTTTTGTCACTTAACTGTTACGTCAGCAGGCGGTGGGGTCGTCACTTCCCTACGCCACTACACACATTATTATTATTATTATTATTAGTTCATACAAAAATTGCACATTATGTTAATAAAGTCGGTCCGTGTACGTGCACAGTGCGCGCGTGCTTCGTGCCGTCGCGCGAGAAGGCGGTGGAGTGGTTGGAGCGCGGCGTGGCGAGCGAGGTGCGCGAGGTGCGGGGTGCGGGCGGGGCGAGGGAGGGGGGCGGGGCGCGAGTGCCCGTGTCGCGCCGTGCGCGCGCGCTGGCTGCCGAGCCGCTGTTCGCGCGCGACAACGAGCTGGCCTCGCTGCCCGACATTGTGCTGCAGTGCATCTTGCAGGTCGCTACCTACTTCACACATTCATGGCTTACGCCACATGCTGCATACTATAGAATACGTCATATGCAGACGCGACCATGCCACACATTACATCACTGACACTACACACTTACAAAACGAACGTAGCATGCATTCAAGGATCCGGCTCGAAGGACCAAACAATATATAATACAAAATTTCAATTTAGTTTTTGTGACGAAATTCCCCACACCATCTGGAGGCTTGGCGGTCAACCTCTGTGCGGTTTGCTATAGTTTTTTCCTTGCACAACTTGTACACAACTACCGGTGGTAAACAACTCCACAAAGAACGCTGTGATTTTTCGGGACCAATATGACTTAGAGACCTTCAAGAAACGAGCTTACTCCTTTTTAACAGGCTGGCAACGCACCTGTAATTCCCCTGGTGTTGCAATTTTTCATGGACATCGGTCAATACTTTCCATCAGGTGAGCCGCATTCTCGTTTTCCCGTACTTCTTTAAAAAAAAAAATAAGAACATTACGATCTTTGTCACCAACGTGATCTCACTTAGGAATGAGGTGAAATATTTAACAAATTACATTGCGGGAAATTAATTTGTTTGGAAAATGTAAGGGTTAATGTTTCTTTCTGTAATATTATTTATATTTTATATTAAGTAGTTTAGAAATCAATAACTTAATGAAACTATGAATATTCCTAAAAGTAGATTATTTTTTCAAAAGAATAAAAATAAAAATGTATTTGGACATTTTTATTTTTATTCTTCTCTTCATTAAAAAACAAACCATTGATGCATCATTTTGTGTATTTATATTATACTACTCTATAAACCCATCAACTTTTAAACGTTATGAGACACAAAATTCACCTCAGTCCCAACTAGCGACATCTGATGATCGGCATTAGCCCTCACTCATCGTTTGACTTCGTTTTAATTGTAGTTTGATGGTGTGAATAATATACTATACAGAATGAGGTCCCACATATATGCAATAAATGAAACCACAAGTAATACTGTGATGAGCTGATTCCCTAAATAAATGGGGATCCGTATGGCTCCAGTAACACATGGATTGTCGGTTCCATATGCCGTTTCGAGTAAACGTGCTTTCATCTGTCCAAAACACATTTGTTTGTGAGTAAGACTGTCGGCTTCGGCTTATCACGGGGCAGCAGCGCCTGCACCTTAACATATTTATAAGGACGTAGTTTGTTCCTTTTCAGCACTCGGTGTATTGTTTTATGCCTCACTCTAAACACTCGCCCAGCTTGTCTAAGGCTGCAGGTTGGATTCCAATCGAAATGGTCTAAGACTCGTTGTTCGAACGAGGGTGGAAAGTGACGCGGAGCAACTCCTTCATGAGTGTTGGGCACTATGCGCTGATTTTTCCTGATTCTTTGAACAGCACCTAGGATTCTCCGGACTCTAGTAGGGCAGACGCGAGTTGCGCCGTATCTCTCACGATAAGTACGCAGAGTTAACGCTGAATTTTGGCGGCATTCGCCATACTATAAAACCATGCCTGTATACTCTGCCGCACTGTAAAAATGCTGTTGTCTTGGCATTTTCCGCCGCCAAAACATATACACAAAAGTCAAGTAGTGTCAATATTACAGTGAAAAGATAATAAAAATAAACGTACTTAAAAACACTATTTACACACACAAAGTCAATTAATTGTTTGACTAATTGTATTTATCTTACGATAATACGATAATTATCTTACGATAAATAATTATGATGCGCGTAAGCAGCGAACCGCACCTGTATTCTGGAAGAATTGCGCGTGAACTATAAGCCAAACTTCCAAATTCCAAAATGGCGAAAATAATAAAAGTAATAAATAGGGAGGCCACAAGGTCCAATTATCGTTTACCGATACTTTTCTTTTTACACTTACTTACCTACTACGTTTGAATACAAGTAATATTGATTTATGATTTGATAACAATCGACAAGTTATTGATTGTTAAAAAAACAGTTTATTTTTGTACAATTGAACTTACAAAACTACCGATTTGTGACTTCCTGGGAAACGGGTATGTATGTATGACTTTTTAATTGGTTGTTTTTATGGGTTTTTTTATCATGTTAAAATAATTTGTTTAGGCCAAAAATGGTCATTTTGAGACGGCATCCAATCACGTTTGACTTAGCGAATCGCCCGATGGTACCAGGTGTCACGCGTGTCGCGGGGAGGGTGCAGCAGAAGGCAGCTTCCCAGCGTTTGGCGCTGGCGGGCGAGACACAGTAGCTCGAGGGCAGCGGTGCAGTTAATTAGCGTATGTCGGTGACCGCTGCAGAAGTTTTTTCGCGCGACCGGTTTTGGGTTATGGTCTAGATTTTTAGAATTTGTGCGCGTTACTTCGCTACGTAATTGTGGTTTTGTGAAAACCGCCTCGGTTTAGTTTGTCTAGGTTTTAAGTTTGTGACAAGAGGCTTGTATTATATTTGACTGATTTCGTTGGAAAATAATTGCTCCAATTATATAGTGATTGCGTGTTGAAGTGCATTTTACAATATTTAACTTGCTCGTGTGACGTGGAATTTCGCGCGCGAGCTGAGTAGAGATACGGTCTGGAATTGAACCGCGCATTCCTTTTGGAGGCGTCGCCCGGTTGATTGATTTGGAAATCATTGTTTAATTATACCGTCGCGTTAAGTCTTTTGTGTGTTTTTTTTATTGCTTAAATTTTAAGCTGGAGTCCCCGCGATGGATACGGGCGGCTTCGGCTTTTTAGTTACGAATTATGTTTGACTATTTTTCTTTTGTACAATACTTATGCTGTGTTTATTTTATTTACGTCGAATTTAGTTTCTTTAAATTATTTACTATAAATGTTATTAGTCTTAGGAAAGATGTTAAAGCGGATTCTTTTTTCATGAGGTCTAAGATATTATAAGGTTCTATACGTAAATTTCTGCAAAGCATCTCGTGGTCGCATCATTGTTTTCCAAACTGAGGACAAAATTTTAATATATGTTCTATTGTTTGCACACTTGTGTTGTCACAAGGACACATGTTGTTCTCAGTGATTTTGAAGCGATATAAATAGCTCTTATGGTATCCGTGTCCTGTGAGTATTTGGGTTAGTTCGAAGGTGATATTAGCTTTCTCTCTTAAAGCTTTAATATGTTCCAGTTTGGGCAACCACCGCTTTAGATGAGCGCCAGTTGTTGCACTCGAGTATATGTTGACTCTGTAGCTAGTTTACGTGTCAGCTAGGTTGATTTTGAATTCTTATTGCGGTGTAGTATTTAATATCGAACGAAGGAGCTTAGTTGTGTTCGTAACGCTGAACCGTGTGACTCATGAAGAGATCGCGTTAGTTCCCTGTTTGTAATTTGGTGATAAATGAATCCGGGACATTGAATGTTGAACTTTGACTACTATTCGTTACTTGTGTCGGGTATTACGTGTTCGATTCTACGATGAACGTTGAATTAGTTGAGTTGAAGTTAGTTAAATGTACAATAAAGTTGATAGACTGAAATAGTGAAATGAAGAAAGAAATTGTCCATCGGGGACGCCTGCTGGAGTGATGCAGCATTGTGGGGCAGCATGGAAACCTGCCGCTGCCAGGTCACCTTAGCTGGGCCAGGTCACCCACATATACACACCACTAAACACCACTTTACATGCATCCACTCTACCTACAGCCTGACCGAGCCTTGGGGCGGTCTTAGATTCCGATCCAGGTACGTACTGATTATTTCCTGGCCTTCTCCCTATTGTGTAGTATGATAGGTCACTTTTCCATAAGGCCACTTGGGCCCTCGGCTGCCCGTCGAGGAGGCTACTATGGGCCCTGGCCAAGGCGACCTTTGCAGGGGCAGCTGTGGGCCGTAACATAATTTATTATCTCTTAATCTACAAGAACACACTTAAACAAAAAAAGCTTTAAAGTTAAGCTTTAAATACTTAGGTCGTAGTGTTTTTAGAATTATCATAACAACACGATAATTCTAAAAAAAACATACCCTAAGTGTTTAAAGCCAAACATTTTTTTTTGTTTATCGATTATTACTCCCTTTGACAGAAGCTAATCGTTGATAAAAGGTGTCCTACTCTACGACACAGGCGCGCGCGCACTTGCGCCGTCGCCTTTGAAGAGCGCCGCGTGCCTCGTGCCGCTTGATTATGGACACCGCCAAAAGACACCGCTGTCGATATGTCGCAATAGTTTGCACTGCGTGGAAACGTCGCTTTTTAATGTTCAAGGATTCAAGTTCATTGAATCATTGACTTAGTGACTCAATTCTATAGAGAGTTCAAATTTGCTTAGAATTCAAACTCTACTTTTTGACCTAATTACTGGACCGATTACTTTCATTTTTTGTATATCGTCAGCAAAGGCGATAACAAGTATGTGGTTTCATTTATTACATATATGTGGTCAATTTTGTGCCAGTAGTTGCGGTTATACAAAAAATAATTTAAATTTTATCTGTATATAATAAATAAAAATGATTATTTAAATTAAATATTAAATTATTAGGTGAAATTTTAATTTAATTATAATTTATATAAATTTTATGATTTATTAAATTTTATAAAAAACTAGGATTAGATACACTATTATTAAAAATTAAATTTATAATACTAAAATAGTAGGTAATTTGTGTAGTGGGACCCCATTCTGTATATTTATTTATTTATTTATTATTTATTTATTTATTTATATTTCCTACTAACATCTACCATTACAGGGAAAAACCTAAATCGATAAATGTAGCATTTCAATTCAAAATAATAATAATAATATTAAAATATGTTATTGGAATTCATCATAAAGCATAAAGTAACAATTCAAATGGTAAAAGATAATAATATTACTATTTACAACACAATAATTAATTTAAAGAACAACACATTACAATCAATTGTATAATTCAATTTGAGAATAATATATTATAAATAATGTCACTTTTGCGAACTCACTCCGTGAACACGAAAATAGATCCAATTTCTCAGCAACCAAAGGAGATGAACTTTGTTCCATACAAGCTTGGGC